GACCGGGACTGGGGTCACTAACTGGCTCCGTGAGGCCCTCAGACCGGGACTGGGGTCACTAGCTCCGTGACCTTTGGCAAGGCCCTCAATCCTTCTGCACTTTGGCTTCCTCGCCCACAGCATGGGAGTAAGGACCCAGCAGGTGAGTTGATGAGCCCAGGACAGGCCAGACAGCGGGAGGCTCGAGGCCATAAAGCACCGCACGTGAACAGCACAGGAGCGTCTCTGGGCCGCGGCCCCAGCAGCCCCCCAGGGGAAATCTGGAACAGCGTCTCGGGGTACAAATCCCACTGCCCGGGCGGGGTGCCACGTCCGCTGGAAACGCACACAGAAAGGAGCAGAGCTGGACAATAGCACAAGAGTCCTCGTGCTACGGAAATGTCAGACGCGACGTGTCTGTTCCATTATTGCTGATTTTCTTTAAAAAAATAAACCTTCAGGAAAACGTGAGATACTAGGAGAGAAACGTGACTTTTCCACAATAACGTGTGTCGGTTCAGCAAAAGATGCTGTCTGAGGCTCGACATGCCCAGCGGTAGTGTCCGCGGAACAATGGGCACAAAGCCCAGGGAGCTGCAAGCAGGGTGTCCGGCCAATGACCACAAGGACAGAAGCAGTAGAGCCGAGCGGCTCCTGGCAGAGGGATGTGCGCCCGGCATCAGGAGCGCAGAAAAGGCCAAGAGCAGAGCTGACGGCACGCTGGCCTTGGCTCCGCGAGCAGCTCTTGTCCACGACAGGGAGTGGGGAAATGACAGCCGTGCAGCCGATCTCGCGGACACCCCATGAGAGATGGGAAGCATGGAGGGCGCCGGGGCAAAACGCTAGCTGGCACGAATTCACTCTTCCGAAGAAGGGTTGATTTCTGCCCCGAGCACCACCTGTGACAGCCGGGGAGCGAGGAAGGATGAGTCACCCTCCCTCCCAGCCCGCTGCGCGCAGGTGACAGGCATGGGTGCCCGCGGAGCCTCGCTGAGCGCCCCCCGCCCCGGCCCGCAGTGTCCGCCCGCCTAATCTGCCCTCTGCGCGGAATCCGCGGTCGGCGCGCGCTGCGGGCAGGTCAGCATCCGTGGGGCAGAGGGAACTTTAAATTTACATGCTGAAGCTTTTTCAGATTCAGCGGCCACGCTACTCCATGAAAGCTGTCACCAGTCTGGGGATGCACCTCAAAACCCCGACAGAATCATCCAAGGGCCCAGGGAGTGGAGCTGGCCCGTAACAAGAAAGTGCTACAAAAGCAGAACTCCCGGTTTTCCCTGCGGTTCAACAGCAACCGCGGCTCTCCTGTCGGCGATTCTGACCTCTGCCTGTCTCGAGGGAACTTGCTAAAATACCCGGTCCCGAGCAACCCAAGCCCCTAAAATCCTTCCTGGTCCCTCAACACCATTCAAGAAGGTACTAGGGTTGAAAGTTGTGGCTGGAACTTGTCTTTGGGGGTGCTCCGGTGGACAAACTCAGACCTCCCATGACCTTCCAGTGACCTTGGAAACAGGCTGGTGGTGCGGGTTCCCCAACCAGGCAAGCAGGGTCAGTCACGTGAACATCCGTTTCCTCACGTGCTGTGCACAAGACACACGTGTCAGTGT